ACTGGTCTATTGTTTTTTGTCATCCTTGTTGCTGATGCGGGGACTAGCGTTGTGTAAGGTGCAAGACGGAGCGCGTTTGGTAACGGCCAAGGTGCCACTGCAACTGGCGAACATATAACAAAATGTTTTTTGTGGAAGGCAATCTATGAAAAAAAGAAAAAAAGATACCTCGATTGGGAGTACATGAAGCATTAAAATACGATATGAACACAAGCTTCAACAACCCCTAATATGAACAAAAATTTATTCTCAACTCACTGCTTTATGACTTCTCAAAAGTGGTAATACACTTCATCGACATACACAGCAAACACATGACAGATATCCAGCAACATGGTACGCAATAAGACTAGAAATAAGTAATATATATTTCGGCATAAAATCCTAACCTCTTCGCATTGGCGATGTGCACATAGTCCCGAAGGATAAGGCGCGGTTCAAAATGTCTCTCGCACACCGCTGATGTCTGGGCGAGGCGTTTATCTTCTCGATTAAGATTCTCCCCCCCCCCCTCCCCCCCCCCACCCTGTAGTCTGCGCGACTCCGCCTTTGGCGCACGAAACAGCGACGGCTTACGGTCGCTGGTGGCTGCCCCAGTTGACCGGATTGCCCGACTTGCATCCCGGCGCGAAGCAGTGTGTGCGTCCGTCTTTTACCTTGCATTTATGGCCGAGACGGCAACGGAACGGGGAAGACTCCCCACCACTACACCACAAAGAAAAGGGCTACGGTGCTACGTTCGGGAGCAGCGTACCGCCTCAGCTTCGTCGTCTTCTTCGCTCATCGCACATCTGCCATCTGCCGCAAATTCTCCTAGAGCACGGAACTCCAGCGCCACTCGCGACATCACATCTACGTTGACCGTCTTCACGCGGCCCATTGTAAGCGGGCGCCGTTCTTGCCACTACACCTTCTAGAACACTGTACTTGCGCTGTGAGCAGTCACCTCAAATACAGCGTTCAGTGAATACCACCTATGCCGTCAACGTTAATCGTAGCCACGCACTGGAGTTGGCAAAGTAGAAAACGCGTGCTGAGCTCCGGGCATTAGTTCGGCTATTCTCATCACTACAGTGATTGGAGTGTCTGCCGAAATATTGATTGTTACCAACCGATGTCGAGTGCTCACAGTTCTCGTGTCCTATCCATGAGCCACGCTCTACTGTCGTTAGGTTGGCGGCCTCGATCCCACAGTTACGTCATCAAAATTTGCGAAGGCAAGATTTAAAGAAATAGTCCCCTTTCATCCTCGCATTCTCACCGCGACAAAAAAGCTTCTGAATCAGTGGCGGTCTGTGCGAGTATGCTCACCCCCCCCCCCCCCCCCCCCCCATACTAGGACCAGTACGCCTCTACAAAGTCATGAACATTGCATAGCGATATCGTTTCATGGCCTTTTTAAGAGAAAAAAATTTAAATTGGGAAAGAATTTTGATGTCCTTGCACTTTAAGTTCGCTCATTTGATCTTTTCGTAAAAGACAGAGGAAGTAAGATAAGTTCGGAGGGCAGCGTCTATAAGAAAATAGCTGAGGCGGCTAAGTAACACAAACATCTACACAAAAATCAATAAAATAAAACAAAACAAAAAAAAAAAAAAACGCGCGCACAAAAATTTTTTGAAATTAAAGGAGCTGTGCAACAATTTTTCTACTGTGCACAAATACCGCTTAAAACGAATCCCTAACGTTAAGGACCTATGAAACACGCGTTCGTTTTTCACCCCACGCAATAGAAGTCCCAGAAAAAAATTTAAGAAAAACGAGCAGCGTTCACCCCCCTCAACTCGCAGCCAGAACAGGCGGCCACGTGATCTGGAGCCGATTATATGCCGCCAGTGTGGATCATAGCCACGCGCTGGGGTTGGCAAAGCGCAGGACACGCGCTGAGTTCCAGACATTGTTATGGCTCGGCTGTTGTCGTCGTTGCAGCGATTGGACACGGGTCACAACCCGAATGCTCCTCGAGCTAGCAATTGTCACGAGCCCGAGTCGAGTGCCCACGTAATGCTCGGGTCCAATCTATGAACCGCATTCAGATATCGTCACTTGGGTGTACTGCGATCCCCGAGTTACGTCATCAAATTTTGCAAAGGAGAGATTGAATGAAAATAGTCGCTTTTGTCCTTGAAATTACACCGCAACAAAGGAGTTTCTTGGCCAATGGCGTTGCGTGTGAGTATCCTTGAGTCCCAGGTGTGCCGGTAAGCTCGTCTAGAGAGAAAAACATTCCAATTGAATATCGTTGCACAGCTCCTTTAAAGGATGGAGAAAAGTGTTGATTGACTTCATCTTTGATTCTGTTTTAGTACCTCTTCCGTTCGTGTGCAGGCAAGCTTCTACTCTGCACTCTTGAGGAAGCAAGATTTCCATGCATTTTTACGTAACTTTGTGCTTTATTATTCGGAGAATGAAAGGGTCTCTAGGGCTCTATTTTTTTTAGTGGCCTTCATTTTTGCTTTTTGTCTTAGTTTCTGAAAATTTTGTTCTCGTCATGAGTTTGTCCTTTTGTCGCCAACGCAAATAAAATAAAACGTCGCTAAGGACACATACACACACACACACACGCGCACACGCACGCGCGCGCACACACACACAGACACACACACACACACGCGCGTGCACGCTCACACAACTACACACGCACAATTTAAGTGGATGGAGAAGCGGAAAAAGGAAATCAAGACAAGTGGAGGAAAAGTAGTACAAAGTTACGAAAACAAGAAACGGTAAAATTTTTTTTTTATCATGACCGAAAGAGTGTTAACTTAGCGATATGTCTATTTTTCCCTCTTTTTTTTTTAACGGGCAAGAAGGACTTCTGGCGGAGTGGAGACAGATTGTTTAAGAGCTTCGGCCGAAAGACTCGCCGTCAGCCACACTCCGTCAGACGGTAAATAAAATAAAAGTAAATAAGAGGAAAAAGTCGTTTCTTCTTCATTATTACTCCACCCCCCCCCCCCCCCCCCCCGCCTTGATTTTAGTTTTCTTTTGTGACTGCCACTTGGCGTAGCCTGCAAAGGGCGTCACCTAAGTTTTTGTTTGATTGTAAGTCTGCAATAAAGCTTCTTGTTCCTAATTTTTGTGGAGAGGCGTGAAGTGACCAATTCTTAGGAAAGTGTTACATACACGCAATCAAAAATTTGATTGCGTGTATGTTTATGAAGCCTGAAATTAGTCTCCCTCAACGGGCGACTTGTCTTTCAGCTGTAGATGATCAATTTAGCCAGCACAGTACAACCGCTAATCTGGGGTCTTTAACGTGCACCACGCAATAGTGATACACGCTGCTCATCCGGATCGAAACGGGCCAGGTGGGGGATGGTCTGGCCAAAAGAGATACCCGCTTTCGGCTAGTGGAGTTTTGTTTCGCTGCGAAGCCATCCTTCTTCGCGAGGGTCATTTGTAAGAGTTATACGCGAATGTGGACAAAGGGCCGGTCGGGTCTGTCAGTCAGACTTGATACTGTATCGGCGCCGACGGCGCTGTTTAATTTCACGACTATAGGGCGATTCCAAGTGACGTTATTTTCCTGCTCGAACTCCTGCCAAACGCCATGCTAATGAACTTTCGTTTCATGTCTTTCTATTCGGGGAGGCAGTGTTTTCTAGATAGCTCAAACTTTTTCGCGTAATGATCGACCACGCCTAACAAAACAACCCAAAGCAAAAAAAAAAAAAAAAAAGCAACGGCAGCAAGTACTTGATTCTTATACATACCGGCCTTTATTCAGATTTTCGAGGAGCCTCCGATAACCTGATAAGCCGGCGATCTGCTAGAGCCTTCCACACTCCCGAGCTCATGTACCTCAGTGCGCACAGGTGGTCAACCTCCTCCTCGCTTACCCGCCAGGTCACATGAGCTCCCCTTTAACCAAGCAGTGTCGAAAACCCCACTCCTCCTTTCCCACCCGTCAACCAATCAGTGTCGAGCCTTGCGGCCACGCTTTTATCCAGACTTCACGACATGCCGAACACCTAGGCAAGGAACGGTTCACGTTAAAAGCTGAGTATACGTATGTTTATGAGGTCCAAATGCGTCCCCGGTCGCACTTACGAAGTTCTGCAGCAACGAAACTACTCGTCATGCTTGTGCGTTTTACCAAGACCAGAAACGATACCAACAACTAAGCGTCTGCATGCAAGCCAATGGAGAAAAGGGTGGACGGTGGTCATCGACATGGCGGAACGCGGTATATCGATCAACACCAGGAGGGGAGTAGCATTTAATAGAAGCCCCATAAGCAAATATTGGTTCACTCCAATAGAGGGCGAGAAAAAGAAATTGAGTGATTTGCATTTACTTCAGAAATTGTCACCGTTGTATACGGTGACGTGACAGGATTTGGTAGACGATTGAATGGAATTTAGCTATGACGGACATAGTAGATAATAACGAGTCACATTTGTTTTTGTGCCTTCATGTTAGGTATGTAGTTTAACTGGTTTGGTCTTTCAGTTTACAGGGACTATATCAAATCCTACTTTAGTAAGCGAAATAAAAATTAAATAAAATAGAAGCTGGCCATGTTTTGATTTATGTTAGGTTAACATAAATCATGCCGCTTTGCTTTTCAAAAGGATAGCACAGCGGCATGGAGTCCCCGTGGGGTTCTCTGCGCCTTCAAAACTGGGGCGTCTATGTGCTAAGGTTGAGAGGGGTCGTCAGGAAAAACTCGACTGTGGTAAGAAGTACAAGAATGCGTTTGTGCCGTGCGCGGTCGGTGTGGTATACAAAATTGAGTTCTCCTGTGGAAGAGTGTACTTTGGCCAATCAGGGAGGTGTATCAATGATAGGCTCAGAGAACACGCACTTTCGATAAGATCTTCACCTTCGGGTAATTTGGCCATTCATTGTGATAGATATGAGTGCTCCCCACTTTTGGATTTGGATTTGGATTTAGTGGCGTCCCCTTCGTAACGGGTGGCCGCTCGCCGGAAGTTCCGGCGATGGCCTGCCAAAAAAAGAAAAAGAGGCTTGCTTAGTCTGGTTTCTAGCCAAGCCTAGCCGAGTTCTTGTTGTGGTGGAGCTTCGGTCGGGTCCACGGTGTGGGGCAGGTCGACCTGGGCGGAAAACATAGGTTGTCCGGCTTGCGCTTGCACGTCCGGCCCAGCTCGCCTCTCCCTCTTCCACAGCCGCCAGGAAATCTCCCACCACTGCTCTAGTCGGCGCTTGGTGGTCTCGACGTGTTCCTCGCCGTCATCCCCCCGCTCCGCCGTCCGGAAGCCCAGCGCGTCCGGCAGATGGTCCACCTGGGGGCACGGGCTGAGGGCCTTGCACTGCAGCACCAGATGTTCGGTTGTCTCCTCTGCTGCTCCGCAGGCGACGCAGTCGATTGGGGCCCCAGCGTCATATCGCGATCTCCACAGCCTGGTCTTGAGGGTCCCCGTTCGTGCCTCGAAAAGCAAGCCGCTGCCCCTGGAGTCATCATACAGCTGCTCCCGCTCGATCGCCCGCTTCGAGGCCGCATACACAGTCATTGATGGTTTTCGTGTGGCCGACTCCGTCCACCTTCGCGTCTCGACCTGCCGCAGGTGCTTCTTGAGGTCCGCAACCCCCTCTCGGAGCGGCCGGCCGTCCAGCAGGGTCGGTGGTACCTCATACTTCCCCGCGAGCCTGGCCACTCGTTTGGTCAGGCGCGTGTTTACACTCCTGTACACGAGGTACTTAAACACCCTCCTGGCCCATCGCTCCTCTCCGAGGCCGCAAAGACGCCTCTCGTAAGACAGCTTAGCCACCGCTTCCCTCGACTCAAAAGCAGACCATCCGAGGTCTCCCTGCACCCCTTCGTTTGGAGTCCCCCTGTGTGCCCCAAGTGCCATCCGTCCCGCCTCCCGCTGTCTAACCTCTAGGAACTCCCGAGTCTGAGACGACGTGCACAGCACCCGATTCGCAAAAGTCAGTCCGGGCACCATCACCATCTTCCACAGGCTACGAGCAACCTCGTAGCGGTCGAAAGCCCACATGGACGTTGCTGCCAGCACTCCCTTTCCCCTCATGGCCTTTGCTCGGACAGCCGATTCATGTGCTTGGATGTAGTTCCTACCCGTGGACAGGTGTACACCCAAGTACTTGTAGTCCGTGACACACTGCACAGTCTCCCCCTGCAGTACAAGCGGTGTGTCCAAAGCCCCCTCTACATTCTCTGTAGGCCCCCACTTCAGCACTTTGCACTTACGGGAGCTGAACTTTAGACCCAGTCTGTCCCCTTGTTTTGTGCATAGGATGACGATTGTTGCTCGGCGAAGTCAGCAGGTGACTCATGAAATATGCGAGACCTATTACATTTTGAAGTATAAGAATGAGTTCTTCAATGCTCCCTCGATTGCGCTCTTCGATAAGAAAATTATGTTTTTGGAGAGCTGTGACACGTGCCTTTAGGCGATGGTGCGATGTATGTTTGTCTGTGTTTTTATGCCGGTAGGTGGTTTCCAGAAATAAACCAGTTGTCAGTCAGCGCTCGGTCTGCGTGTTCCTCGTTCTTTGTCCTCCGTACTTTTGGCGCTGTTTCCCTCTTCGTAACTACGGTGCTCTGTGCTACCAGATTCCCGCGCTCCAAATCTGCGACCGGGCACTCTATGGCTCTGTCATCGAACTGCCAGGCTTTGTGAGTATGGAGGGGGCTATGCCCTGGGTTATGCAGCGCGAGCTTTCGCTTCACGTGCTCCGCGCTGGTGTGGGCTAGGGCCGTGTATAGACGCTTTACACACGCGCCAAATTATAGCCGCCGTTGCTGACCTTCTTTTGTCTTACCCAGATGCCGAGCGACTGAAACGGTAGTTGACGATCCTCTACAAAGACCGATGCTTTAGAAAAGGACACAGTTGAATCTAATATGGCAATAACCTGGCTTGCTATGGTAATGGTGAAGTGAAATAAACGAAATAAGAGGAAACAAAAACTGAAGGTCAGTTATGGCGGCGTCCATACACAGCTGCTGCAAAGCGTCTATACAGAGAGTTTAGTCAATAAAAGGCGCGGGCAAAGCCAGTGTGTGCACGAGATGCAGAAAGAGGGCTTGGCATGCTGTCATGGCCAACAAGAAGCCGAAAAAAATCTTCTAGCAGTGGTAGCGAGAAACAGTTTGTATCGTTTTAATAAGCGCGTAAGAGTTAGATGTAGCAACCCATCATGGCTGAATAAAGGGTTCACGTGATGTTTAGATTATGATTACGCAGAAAGATGTAAGAAATGAATGTGCCTCTCGAACTCTGTCGACAGATTCCCTGCCCTCGACGCCTGGCGTACGGATTATGTCGATCGTTCCGCTAGTCGCACTTTTCCGCCATTATTTTGGATGACGGTGATTGAAACATCACGTGCACCTTATTTTAAGTCACCGAGAGTTACTCCGAAGCAGTTATTAGGTTTGTTTCTCGCGACCACCGCAAGGGTATTATTTCCGGCTTCTGGTTGGCCACATTTGGATTTGTAAAGGCACCCTGAAAGACGCACAACCCGCTTTCGGCTAATGGCTCCTCCTCATTTGTCTTCTATACTTCCCAATGAATTGCCAAATAGTATATATATACGGCCAAGGTGTGCGCTAGCCCACTCGGCAACCGATTTTTTTTTTTCAGTTTAAAGGAGCGGTGCAAATATATTCAATTTGAATGTTTTTTACTTTACACGAGCTTACTGACACTAGTGGGACTCAAAGATACTCGCACGCAACGCCACTGGCCAAGAAACTCCTTTGTTGCGGTGTAATTTCAAGGACAAAAGCGATCATTTCATTCAATTTTTCCTTTGCAAAATTTGATGACGTAACGTTGGGATCGCAGCACACCCCAATGACGATATTTGAATGCGGTTCATAGGTTGGACCCGAGCATTGCGTGGGAACTCGATTTGGGCTCGTGATAATTACTAGCTCGAGAAGCATTCGGGTAGTGGTCCGTGTCCAATCGCTGCAACGACGACAATAGCCGAGCCATAACAATATCTGGAACCCAGCGCGTGTCCTGTGCTTTGCCAACCCCAGTGCGTGGCTATGATCAACATTGGCGGCATATAATCGGCTCCAGATCACGTGGTCGCTTGTTCTGGCTGCGAGTGTAGGGGGTGAACGCTGCTCGTTTTTCTTAAATTTTTTTTTCTGGGACTTGTATTGCGTGGGGTGAAAAACGAACGCGTGTTTCATTGGTCATTTACGTCAGGGATCCGTTCTAAACTCTATTTTCGCAAAGTACAAAAATCTTTGCATTGCACCTTTAAGTCCAGACGCAGCTGATGCTACAAGCGCGAGCATACGGCTCTGAACAGTGCTTTCACTGGATGAGGGCGCGTGCGTGGCAGGGACACTGAAAGCTGCAGGAGCTCGCGCTTGTAACATCGACTGCATCTAGATTTAAGCTGAAGCTAAGTATAGACGCTTTGCAGCAGTTGGGCATGGACAATGCCATAACTGACATTCAGTTTTTGTTTCCTCTTATTTTGTTTGTTTCACTTCATGATTACCATAGCAGTCCAGGTTATTGCATATTAGATTCCACTATGTCCTTTTCTAAAGCATCGGCCTTTGTAGAGGATCGTCAACTACCGTTTCAGTTGCTCGGCATCTCGGTAAGACAAGAGAAGGTCAGCAATGGCGGCTGTAATTTGGCGCGTGTGTAAAGCGACTATAGTTCTATATGTTGGAGAAGTTAAATCTGTTGATGAAAATAATCCCCGGAGAAGGGGAACAAGGGGGACAAAGGACAAACATGTTTGAAGATTTATGTTTGTCCTTTGTCCCCCGTGTTCCCCTTCTCCAGGGATTATTTTCATCATTCTTGTCCAGCTCGCTTGCACCTTTGCATTTAATTGCATTATAATTAAATCTGTGTCGGGAACACCTATTTATTTATATCACTGTTCAATATCAGAAATTAGTTTGAGGCTCTTTTAAATAACTTAGACGTGGCTCTCAAGGATAAAAAACTAGGAAACAAATTTGTAGAGCATATTTTAAATAATGTGGGTGTGCATTTACTTATGATATATAACTTTACGGTGATCAGCCTTTATTTATGTTGTCAAATCTTCCATCAGTAATATAGCATATTTTATTATCATCAACGAAATTTACTGTATGAGCTTCACATAACCGCTTCAGACCAACACGGGAGGACGATACTCGAAAATACGCCAGCTCTTGTGACTGCAGAAACGTGCGTTTTGTTCGCTGTCTGGCAGTGTGACACATCGGATCGCAAGCTATGCAAAAAAAAGAAAAAAGACTTTGTGCTTCCATATTAGATCGGAAGGCAAATACACTAAATGAGCAGAAAGAGAAATAAAAAAATGGTATTCTTTCTTATAATTCCCTACAGAACGCCTTAGCCCAAAAAGAAATACAAAGATGTGCATTCAATGCTATTCCTAATTACACATAAATAGCACGAAGGACAGAGAATACGTTTCTAAAATGAATCACATTTGGACATCGGCTTGCACGAGCTTGAAACTTCCTAAAACACTGTCTCGGGAGCCTAATGGTATATTCGCTTTTACGTGCACTCTGTTTTCGGGGCCTCAATCTACAACTGTCTGCTTTATCAGTCATGCGCGCTCTATACTGTTTCATCTCACGATGGACCGCGCAGTACGCTACAAACCAACGAGACAGATCCAGTGCCGTGTAACTACCAACTGGCCGCCGGGAAGGGCGCTGCGTCGAGCAGAGCGAGTCGTCACGCGACAGCTTCACAGAGCTGGATTGGCTGGGATGGCTGGTAGCGCCCGCTGCCGTCCATCGGGAGGTGAAACACATTATAGCATTTTATGAAGCTGTCGCATATCATCGCGAATTGCTATATATGATGAACAACGTTGCAATTTGTTCCGCATATGCTTTTTCTGCTGTTGAGAACATCGCATTTCACCAGAAAACGGAACTGTGTGATATGGTTTGCACGGGACGTCGTTGCTTTAGTCTATATGCTGGTAGTCATTGCGATTTGTTCTTGCTGAAAAAATCCAATCCTGTGGTGCAAAGTGCGATACAGAAAGTTTTCGCTCAATGAGAGCCATGTATTCCACAGACACAAATTTTGCTTGCTTGGTGCAGCTTGGTGAGGAACGGCGCGAGCGTCTGGCCCAACGAAAACGCGCTTTCTGGCGAGTCTGTCTTAGCAAACAAAGTATTTTCCGGGATTACGCTTTCTGGTTTGTGCCGAAGATGTGCTGAGGAATTTTTACAACACAGAATGCTTTAAGAACTCCCCCCTCACCCCCATCCCCACTCCTTTTCTTGTTTCGATGCTCATCCAGAGATTATTTTTGTTCTTGAGGGACTCACTCCTCTGTTTGGGGGTGTTAATTCGAAAATTATACGGCTGCCATTTGTTAACATTAATACTGCATTTCTTTTATTTTGCACCCAAAAACTGTGAAGTTTAAGCGAAATACGGAGGTGATCAAAGCTTGGGGGAGAACTTGAGAACGACACTCCAGTAAGACTAAAGCCAGGTCACACTGCTTATACGTCATACAAAAGACAGTCTGCAAACAAATTCGAGGGCAAGTCACCACGAGATCCGTGCTTCCGATGCCGGATGGCTACGAGTTCAAGAAGAAACTTGGCACTCGGCATTCGGACCACGAATATCGCGATGACTGATGTTTGGAGACTGTTGTTTGTATGCTGTATAAGCAGTGTGACCCCGGCATTAGAGGGGCTGCCAACATTCGGCTGTCCCCCTGAGTCCACTGGTATCTTTCTTTTCAGGTATCCTTCCCGTATACAAATTTGTAGGTCTATTTATCGTCGGATTGATAAGTCACATTTAGTCCTTTCAATGCTTCTATTCTCGAGGACAGAATTCCGCGGTAGTTCAGCAACATCAAAAACATGTTTGGGGTCCACTGTGATGTGTACATTTAAAACGGGTCGTGCGACAATTTTTGAACTTTCAGTGAATACCGCTCAGAGCTAATCCCTGACGTTAATTACTTGCAAAAACACCCATTAGTTTTTCTTATGGTCATGGCAGATGCAGAAAAAATAAAAAGGAGAAACTTCTTTCGCCTCTTCAACTTGCTATTGAAACAAGCGGCCACGTGATCTGACGCTAATTTTATACCGTCGGTGTTCACCATAGTCACGCGCTGGGATTGGCGAAGGGTAGGGCATGGGTTGAGCTTCAGACATTGTTAGAGTGCGGCTATTCTCATCTTTGATTGATCACGAATCATTTCCCGAATG